CAGCAAAGCATGATGGGTGATGAGGTGAACATGAGTTCAGTACAATGATACACATTTATAAAAAGTGACATAATGAAATCCTACATTTTATACACTTAAAATTGATTTGTTTTTCATAAGGAAAAGTAAGGGGCTTGAGGTTGGCTTAGCTGTTCAGAGCATTTGCTGCTCTTCCAGAGGACCTGAGTTTGGGGGTAAAACTCATGCCAGTTAGCTCATAACTGCCTGTAACAATAGCTCCATGGGAATCTGATACTCTCTTCTGGCCTCCATGAACATCTACAAACACACACACAGAGACACACACACACAGACACACACAGACACACACACAGACACACACAGACATGCACAGACACACACAGACATACACACACATACACACATGCACAGACACACCCACCCCCACACACACATACACCTACACATACATACACACATGCACAGACACACACACAGACACATAGACACACACACACACACTTTTTTTTTGAGCTGGTGGCTGGCAGGCAGACTTGACAAAGGAATGGGTTTTCTTTTCATGACTCTTTTATCCCTTCACAATGTAAGACAGAGTATGAAAACTGGGGAAATTGGGGCTGGAGCGATGGCTGAGTGGCTAAGAGTACATGCTGCCTTTACAGAGAGGACCTGGGTTCGATCCTCAGTACCCACATGGTGTCCCCCAGCCACCTCTAATTCCAACTCAGAGGGTTCCATTGTCTTTTTCCAGCCTCAGTGCTCAATGTATGCACATGCTTCATATATATTTATATTATACATTATAAATTTATACATATCATATATTATTATAAGCTTATATTTTCATATTATACTGTATAACATTATATAGTATATACATCATATACAACTCATAAACACAATATAAAATATATTATGTACTTATAAATATATATACAACATAGTAATGTATATCAGTATATGTTTTATATGAATATGTATATGATGTAGGATGTTAGAAACATAATTTTAGGTCACATAATAAGGAAGTATTCACCTTCTTGAGAACTCAAGGGCTATGTCACCATCAGTGCTTGTATCCACTCTCTCCTGATAACTCCTTTTCCACCCACAGGACCTCAAAGGCAGCATGCAAAAAGTGTGTCAATTTCTGGGCAAATATCTGACTCCAGAACAGCTTGATTCTGCTGCCCGAAACTTGTCCTTTTCAGTCATGAAAGAGAATAGCATGTCCAACAGCCTAATGCTAAGAAATCCCAAAGATGGCACCGTCTCCAATATACCATTGCTGAGAAAGGGTAAGAAAACATAGAGTGTCAAGACTGTGTTGTAGAAATGGGTAGGTTTTTGATGTTTGCATAAAGCATGAGTCATGAAAACAGACGTGCTTGGAAGCTAGTGTCATATTCCATTACATTCTTTCAGAAGAGTCGCTGCCCACAAATCTGTTACTGAGACTCCTTAGAACCACGGTTAAGTAGAGAAGGAGTGAGAGGTGCCTGTGCCCTCCTGGCTCTGCCTGTGCGATGGACAAGTCCTGTCTATACACTTAGACCAGTCAGTCTCAGTGACATGGTCCACATCTGTAAGAAACCAGAGGTGTAGTCACAGGAACAGCACTTTCCAATTCAGAGGGTTTACAACAGATAACCCATGCAAACATCCATGTGTCTACATG